GGGGGGGGCGCCACACCCTCCAGTCATCCAAGTGGGGGTGCTGCCAGTGCGGCCATGATCCGGAAGTGGGACGTGGCCACTTCCTCGACGTGAAACTGCCCCATAGGCCACAACGCAGTGGTGGGAGGTGCGGGGCAGTAAGTGCAAGCATCCCAGAAGGCAGCTGGCCCTATGCATATGGGGATGCTCTCACCAGACAGAACAGCCTCCAACAGCCGGGAACAGAAACACGCTCCCACAGCGGGGAACAGAAACACACACTCCGGTAACGGGGAACAGAAACACACTTGGAACGGACATGCTCCAAAAGCAAGGAACAGAAACACGCTCTGAAAGCAGGGAACAGAAACACACCCGGAACAGACATGCTCCGAAAGCAGGGAACAGAAACACACACTCTGGTAACGTGGAACAGAAACACACTCTGACAGCAGGGAACAGAAACACACTTGGAACAGCCACGTTCCAAAATCAGGGAACAGAAACATGCTCCAAAAGCAGGGAACAGAAACACGCTCTGTAATCAGGGAACAGAAACACGCTCTGACAGCAGGGAACAGAAACACATTCGGAACAGACACACTCCGAAAGCGGGGAAGAGAAACATGCTCTGACAGCAGGGAACAGAAACACACTTGGAACAGACACGCTCCGAAAGCAGGGAACAGAAACATGCTGTGACAGCAGAGTTTGGCCTGGTGTCTCTCATTCTGCACCCCGGACAGTGAGCACTATTGTGTGGGAGCGCCAAGCTGTTTGCAGGCAGGCTGGGGAAGGAGGTCTGGTGTGTGGACTGGTGTTCAGTGGTGGTGGGTCTGGATGTGGCCCTGCTACTGCCCGGTCCTGGGAGCCTAGGGCTGGACCATCTGGGGAGGCAGGCTGGCTCGGTGCGCATGCACCCTCCTGGTCAGCCGGGTCCTCATGCTTTGGATAGAGGCAAGAGCATAAAAGCTCCTTCCACAGCCTCCTCGCTGTTCCCTAGGAAACAGTGGGTCCCACATGGCAAGAGTCAGCATGGCTGGGTGTGAAGGGTTGGCTGAACCCGGGGCTTGGCCTGCATCCCCCAGAGTTTTGGGCTGGGCCTGCACATCTGAGCTGGCAAGGGAAACTGGAAGCCTGAGTTTGTTAGTGAAGTGGTCACAAGTGTGAGTGACTGATGCACATCATCCTAAACGGCCAAGTCGGCCGAGTGTCTGGTGGGAAATGGCCCCGCCACACAAGTGCTCCCAGGCTGCGGCCCACACGGCTCTGACCACAGGTTGTGTCGGGTGACCTCGGGTCAACAGAGTCCCCGGCCGTGTGGCCGTTGGACTCGCGAGGGCCGCGTGACGCCGGGGCAGGGCTTCCCGAGGCAGGAGCAGGGGACCCGCCCAGGAGGGGAGGCCTGGGAAGCAGCGAGTGGTACCTGCTTCTTGAGCTTCTTGGTGGAGTGGTAGTCAACCAGGGCCACGGAGAGGGCGACCACGTGGTCGCCGCCCACCAGCGCGAGCAGCACCCCTGTGTCAGTGGCGGGGCGGATCCAAGCCACGACCTCTATTTCCCAGGCTGCCTCGGTGCCGACGGCCGCGGACGTCCGAGCTGCGGTGAGGGCGGCACATCAGAAGGCGATCCGGGTGGGGCAGGACGCGGTGAGTGGGGGTGGCCTCGGAGGGTAGGCGGGGTGACCGCGAGAGGGCCGTCCCCGTGGGGGGCTCCTGACCCAGGCTCTGGGCCCCTGAGGAGCGGCTCCTGCCCCTCCCTGCCCGCTTTCCCCCCAGGACGGGCCAGAGCATCGCCCGCAACCCCACCGCGCCCCGCCTGTGTCCCTCAGGCGGTTTGACAAGGTCGGAGGTGCTTGGAAGACGCTGCACCGAGCTCCATCCCCACAGACCACACGGTTTCACGTGAGGCGAAGCGTTGCTGCCATTCTACTGCCTCAGCCGAGTGGCTCCTCACTTAGGCGCCTTATGTATACACGGCCTACATGACGTCGTACGTGTGCTAAGTGTGTGGTGCAGAAACGATGCACGGGGGCCTGAGCCAAGGCGTGTCAAATGTCCCCACGTGTCCTGCGTGGACAGTTCCAGAAGACATATTTTGGTAGAAAGGGCTGGACTGTGGTTGTGTGAGGACAAATATGACACCACATTTCCTCCCTACACTTGAATCATCTGACGACCAGAAGCCCCTTTGCTCCGTGGTTGTAAGCGCCTTTGTCTCAGAAGATCTTCCAAGTCCTGACGAAGGAGCCCGTTCGGCCCTCTGGTGCCGCAGCAGGGGCCGTATCCATCGGAGCTCGGGCGCCCTGGCCACAGGCCGGCTGGCACCACAGTGAACCATGACCTGGGCTCCTGGCTGCTTCCACTGGACTACAAGCACTGCAAATCATCTGTGCGTCCCCCGACCCTAAGTGGGGCTTGTTACAGTCTGTTCCTGATAATCATTCACTGAATCCAATGGGCGCAGAACTGGAAAAAGCAGCCAAAAAACAAAAACAAAAACCAGTGATCTTCTCCGTGGCCAAGTTTCACCTTTATTCTTGATGGAAGAGAGGAGTGTTTCCTGGCCCTGAATTTTCCCCGAGACGGGACCGGTGCACTGTGGGGGCGGAATCTTCTAAGGCACCGGAGCCACGGCTGTGCTGAGAAGCCGTGGGGAAGATGGTCTCCCCCTGAACTGCTGCTTGGTGCAGAGGCTGTGACTCTCAGGGAGGCTTCTCTGTTCTAAGATGCGACTGTCTGAGGTTATGAGAGACGCATCGAGTTCTAAGTGCCATCTGGCCTTTGCTGTCATAGAACTGACTGCCCCAAACCAGTCCGTGTGGACAGTGCACAGACCGTGGTATGCACAGGTCTGTGTTACAACAGAAAACGTCTGTGATACTCAGAAGAAAAGTAATGAAATGTTTTGTGATACCAGATTTTACCCTGAACATTATGATGATGTTCTACATCTTCCTGTTTAACAATGAGACCAAAGGAATAACGTGTATGTTGTTACCGGCTGGTTCTTTCCTCAGAAACACCTAGTACTTTCGACAATGAAAGCAAAGATACAGGTGGGGGGTGACCCAAGGTCCTGAGAGGACAGCCTGCCTCACTGAGGGTAGAGGAGTGGGCCCCCGTAGCCTCCCAGTGGGAGGGGTCATGTGGTCTGTGGTGGGGGTGGCAGACGGGAGCCTAACATAACCAGCTCGCCATCTGGGGAGAGAGGGTCTGCAGGTGGCCCGTGGAGACAGGGAGGACAGAGCCAGACCCCAGGAAGGAGCCAGGGTGCACTGGGGGGGGGGGGGGGGGGGGGGGGGGCCCGCCTGGACCGCAGTGTCGGCTGGGAGCAGGGAGACACCTGTGAGGCCACCAGACACACAGGCTGTAGACGTGGGGTGGGCGGGGGGGCACCTGGGCCCGTGAACCCGCCAACAGGGTCCACACAGTCGCGTGCATGTGCATTTTCCTGGGCCTGGGACCTGGCTCTCCTGATTCTCTGGGCACAGTGACAATAATTTAGGGCTCCAGGTCTCATGTGCTCAGGAAACAAGGTTAATTTTAAACCTAAGTAAGAGAGAGGAGGGAAAATCCCTTGGTCCCAGGGTCAAACAGAACCACTCAGCGGTCACCACTGACCCACGCTGTTCATGCCAGCACCCTGAGCTCTTTTCCCACCAGCTGGCGATCGAGGACGCACAAGATTTAGAACTTCAGTCCCAGGTAAAGTCTGTTTCTGAGACTGTTCCTCTGTCAGCATGAGCGGGTTGTTCGTTGTGTTGTGGCCCTCCAAGGTGGCTGTGCCGCTCTTCTCTCCTTTAACACTAGAGCTCTCCAGGGGCCCTGAGACGGCCCCTGTGACTCCAGGGTGCTGCCCCTCAGGGTCCCCGGGACGGCCCCTGTGACCTCGGGGCGCTGCCCCTCGGGGTCCCTGGATGGCCCCTGTGACTGGGGTGCTGCCCCTCATCCGCTCCTCAGGATGCTCTGACTGCAGAGTCAGCCATGTTCCCCACAGCCGGCGTGGACACACCTTCACTCATCTCGTCCAAGAACCGTCTGTAGGCATCCTCTCAGATCCTTCATGTCCTCCTGCCTGCCCCGGTACCAGCACGGCCGCAGTCTTCTCCCATCTGTCCCGTCCTCCTCACTGGCTGACATGAGACCCAGAGTGGGAGCAGCTACCTGCGAGGTGGCTTCCTGCCTCGTGTATTTCTCACTGCCTGTTGTCTGGAGGCCCAGCCCCAGCCCGGGAGCCCACACTTACTGTAATCGAGGCTGTAGAAGGCAAAGCCGGTCCCGGGGTAGAAGGACCCTCTCTCCGTCACGGAGAAACACTGCATCTTGGAGTTTGCTTTCACCGTTTCTTGGATGGTGGTGTCCTCGCCACTCAGCCAGTTCCAGCTCCTCATACAGCCATCTAGACGGGGGTTTATCTGGGAAGACAGAGAAATCCACGTGGCTTCCTGGGACCACAGAGACTCCCAGATACCATGACGAGGTGCCACGTGGTAGAGCGTGGGATGCCCTCTGGGCTCAGGCATGTGGAAATCTGCCAAAAGATGAACAATTCCTACCTGTAAAGATGACTTATTTCCCTAAAGGGCTCCACACTGGGCACGATGACTCCTTGCAGGAGGCCCAGCACTCGCGGCTGGTCCTCCTGCCATGCGTCGTGCACGGACGCCCACCTTCTGTGGTCGCACGCTCACTCCCAGAGCAGAGCACTGGCCACCCCCGGGAGGACGTGGGACGAGGTGATGTGAGCAGTGGTACCTGGTACCTATGGAACTGAGTCCAGGGGCTGGGAGTGCCAATTCTAGTGCACCAGGCATGTGCTACACGCTTTGGAGCAAATCGGGTCACCCCTGCCTGTATCTGCAAAGTGAGGAGGCGTAAGCAACTGTGGGACCCCCTGGAATGGAGACTGGCACCCCCTACCGGGATTCCGGCCACTGACGGCCACGCGCTGGGTGACGGGGAGATATCTACCGACCAGGGTGTGGGCTGTGGTGCAGGAAGGGTGAGGTCGGGCAGAGCTTCGAGGTGGACTAGTACTGACCTCTTCCACTTGGGTGGAAGTCCCAGCAGGACTAACAACCCAACTGTTCTTGGAAATTGTCAAAAAAGTTGACTGTGTTTTTTAATTAGAAAAAAGGTTTTTTTTAATGTTCATTTTTGAGAGAGAGAGAGACAGCACACAAGCAGGGGAGGGGCAGAGAAAGGGAGACACAGAATCGGAAGCAGGCTCCAGGCTCCGAGCTGTCAGCACAAAGCCCAATGCGGGGCTCCAACCCATGAACCGTGAGATCTGAGCCAAAGTCGGATGCTTAACCAACTGAGGCACCCAAGGCGCCCCTTGAGCGTTCTTTTTGCTCAAAAATAATTTCATTGTGTCTCATTTTTCATGTGAAATAGGCATTTTTGTCATCACTTTAGATGAAAACTAAAGCTACTCTCACAGGGAGAGGCGGTGCACACATGCTTGCTGACTTCTGGGAAGCCACCGCCTAAGCCTGGGAAGCACTAAACACAGCAGCTCGCGGGCTCGCCTGTCCTGATGGGTCCTGCACTCCCACTCCAGGCTGATGATGGTACTTACTGGCTGGACCAGGTCCTTCTCCTTGAAGGGAATGCCTCCCACGGTCAGGTTCAGATGATACAGTCCTCTGTCCAGCTGAAACAGGTCCCCGGCCACCGCGATCTTCATCACGGCATCCTTGTTCACCTTGATGACCAGATTCCGGTCCAGCTCCTCCACAGAGATCTGAAGGAAACCAGGGCCGGAGAGGCGGGGTGCACCTTCACCCGGGATCCCCGGCCCCGGGGCTCACGCGCACATCTCCCTGTCCCCCGTGTGCCAACACAACCTCCCTCCAGCCGGGGTGAGGCTCCAGTTCCCAAAAGGCCCCCAGCACTGGCTTCTCCCTTCGCTCCTCCTCCTCCAAGTGAAGCCCCTCGAGCCGCGTCCCTTGCCCCATCCTGGCGCCTCTATAAGCCCTGCCGGGAGCTGCCTCCTGGGAGCAGGAACCCCGCCTGACATCACTGTTTTGGTGCCTCACTTCTCCCACCCACAGGGGCCCCATCAAAGGCAGGGGGCACGTTTCTAACTCCCAGCAGGTAACTAAGTGTCTGGCACGGACCGGATGCTGTGCGTGAATTCACATGGACTCCAGAAGTTTGCATCTTTCCTCCTTTCCAAGCAGGAGAATGTAGAAACCTCTCTCTACACTCTGTGTTCTCCTAACCCTCCAGAGGTCCATCAGTTTCCTTTTTGGTTAAAACGGGAAACTTGTCGGTACTTGGGTCAGAGTGTGGTCAGGAGGACACGGTGTCCGTGAGGGGGCTGCAGGGGCAAAAGCAGGTCAGGAGGGGTGGCTGCAGGGGCTGCCAATGAGCCGACCCCGCTGACCCCACCCTGAGCAGCCAGTTCATGCACCAGGCGGGGGCAGCTGTGCCAGTCACCTGTCACAGGCCCTGCGTGCCCCAGCTTTCTCACCTGGGCGCCGCCACCCCCCTGGACCCCACACACCCCACGACCACAGGGGCCAGGCTGCCCGTTTGGAGCACGTGCCTCCCTGGGCCCTGAAGGAGGCCGTGTCCCTCTGGCTCCGTGGTCTTATCTGGGCTTTGCTGTCGGCACCCCTCCCGCAGCTCCGGAGACCCTTGTGCTGAGAGCTTGGGAAAGAAGGAAGGTGGCCTTACTTAACAGGGTGGACGCCTTAGCAGATGTCCCAGTGTTTTTATTCAGAAAGTCCTATTTTAACATAGCTTTTAAAGGGCAAAAGGATGCTCTTCTCTCCCAGGTGCTTACTAAGAGCCCACTTCCAACCAGGGCCCTCCAAACTTCAGGAAGGGTCCTGTGTGTCAGGCTGCTGTGCAGGGGGGTGCAGGCAGGGCAGTGGTGGGACACCTGCCTCTGGGGCTCTGGGTGTTCAGGGAACTCTCCAGAGGGAGGCACCCGTATGTGAGTGCGCCTGGGTCAGGGCGGGAAGGGCGCAGGTCCCGGGATGCTGCAGACACTTGGGCAGGAGCTGTGCCTAGATTTCGGCCCTGGACCCCCAGCTTCAGCGCCACGGACATCCTGAGCTGGACAGTTTTCTGAGGTGGGGTGTCCTGTGCACTGCAGGGTGACCAGCAGCCCCTGGCCCCACCAGGAGCTGCTGTAATGGACAGAATGGTCTCGGGGACACAGCCAGGTGTCCCAGGAGGAATGGCCCATCGAGTGTGAACTTCCCAGGGGCCGGGGCCCATGCCACTGTGTGTAGTGTTCACCAACTGTCGGGTGCCTAAGCGCACGAGCAAACCCCAGGCCCTCCCCAGGAGTCTCTACGCCGCCCGGGCCAGGGGCGGGGGTGGCCACGCTCACCGTCTGCCATGTGCCATGGTTGATGACAGGCCCGCTGCTGGTGACTCGGCCGACACCACCGTAGCGGAGCTGCAGTTCCAGCCGGCCAGCCCGCAGGCCCAGCACGATCCAGGCACTGTCTTGATGACCTCCAGCAAAGAACAGGACCCCTTCGGGGTCAAAGGTCCTGAAGTCGAATTCAGCGAGCAGCCTGAGGGCCAGCATGAGAATCATCAGGTGACACACAGGCCCCATAGGACCCAGACCGACACGGGCGGGCAGGCACCCCGGGACTCCTTCCCCAGTGCCAGAAGCAGGCCCCGCAGTGGTGGGTGTCCATGCTGACCCAAAGCCTGGACTTGGCAGCGGGCTGCCGTGGATGTGCCAGGACCGCGGGGGGGCTGCGAGCTGCCTCCCACCTGGTGGGCTGCAGCCTTTTGAAGCGCAGTCTGATCACGGGGGTCCCGCTGAACATGCGGCCCAGGTACAAGGACTTCACGCTTTTGGCCACATTGAAAGGCACGCAGGGCAAAATGTCCTGTGGAACGGGGGCGAGGAGTGTCAGGTGGGGCCCACCTGGTTCCACCCCTCCTGGCCACACAGGGCTTGTCAGGGTCGCAGGTCGAGCCCCCCTCAGCCATTCTGCCACCCAGGTGCATAAACAGGAGGCAGATGGGTCCCCCAAATGTTGGAGTGGGATGAGCGGGTGTGGGCGCACCCCCAGTCTGGGGGCTCTGGCTGCACGCGCACTGGGCAGGGCCTGCTTTGGGTGCAGGCTGCCTGCTGGGCCGCGGGTAGGAAGCCGCCCTGGGGGTGTCACGCACAGGACAGACACACCCCCCCATCCCGCATCGCCACTGCCCTGGGTCACCAGCCCTCCTCCCTGAGAACGGTCTTCCCGAAGGGGGCGGCCGCCCCGAGGACACTACCTCGCAGGTGTTCGTGTCCGGAGACAGCTTGAGGCCCCCACGCCCGTCACAGTGGCAGGTGTAGCCCCCTGGGGAGTTGACACAGGCCTGCTCACAGCGCCCCTCAGCACACTCGTCCACATCTGTGGCCACAAGGGAGATGGGCAAGCCTCACCTGTCTGGTCACACATGCGGCGTGCTCTCTACGGGCTCCACAGCACATGACTCAGGAGGCACCCACCCCCCACTGTGCCCACAGTGCTTCCCGGCAGGTCCAAGGAGCCGCTGGAATAAGCCAGCTGGTCAGCCACAAAGCACGTCCTCGTCTGAAGGGTCCACTGCCCCCGGGGCACGGAGGGTGTGAGCGGCTGCACATCCCCAGCTGTCCCCAGACACAGTAGCTGGAACTGAGGGCCACACACAAGCCCATCTGCTACGGCGGCACAGGGCGTACGGTCTGGGGCAGGTCAGAGAAGGTGCCGAGCTGCACTCAGAGGCAGCACAAATGCATGTGTGTATTGTACGCGCACATGTGTGCACACACGGCACGCACACTCATGTGTACACGAGCACACGTGCTCACAGGTGGGTGCGGTGTGTTGTGTGTGCACGCCTGCACGTGTGTGTGCGCCTGGTGCCGGTGGGCGGCTGGGAAGAGGTACCTTGACAGGCCTTCTCCTGGGGACTGAATGCATAGCCCTCATCACAGAGGCAGGCGTAGGAGCCCGGCAGGTTGCTGCAGCGCGCCTCCCCGCAGGCCCTGCCGTCTGCACACTCGTCCACGTCTGCAAGAAAACCAGCATGCTGGACCGGGGGGTTTCTGACCGCCATGGGGAGATGCTGTGGCGGGAGCACCGCGCATCGGGGGCGCAGCCCCCGGGGCAGACTAGGCCCACGCCCCCTCCGCCCAGCCACCGACTCGGCAGCCCCAGGCCCAGGCATTGGGGCCATGGGGGGCAGTTCCAATCGGTGTCCTGGACACTGGACAGGGCTCTGAGCACTGGAGCACAGGAGCAAAACCCCAGGGGCCTTCCGAACGGAGGGTACCCTGCGTCCCTGGAGCAACTCCCCCCCAGTGCCCCCGGGATGCCACCTGCATCTCCCAACTCGGCCTCCACTCACACCCTGGGTCTCTCCACCGGAATTCAAACACCACAGTATTGACAAGTTATCAAGGCCCTTCCTGAGGTTCCGTCCATCTTGCCCCTCCAGCAAACGACCAGCACAAAACTTCTGCAGTTAAAAACCCATTTCCTCCAGAGTCAGAAGGAACAGGTGGCCCGTGTCATTGCTACTTCAAACACCATGGGTCCTTACACGGCAACACAACACGTGTGTCTCTGAGCCCCACGCCATTCACGACTCCTCACGAGGGCAGCTAAACGCAGGCTTGCAGGTGCAGAATGAGGAAGACGTTGCTCACCGACCCCAAGAACGAGCCAGCAACCGCCCACGTCCCCCGAGAGACGGCGTGTGAAACCGCCAGGTTGCACCCGATCCGTTTCCAGCTGTGTGGACGCTTCTGAGCCTGGACTTCATTTCAGGAGCCAGGCAGGGCCAACCCCACGTCCAGAACCTTAGGAACCTGGCTCCCCCTAGTACGTGGGGCGTGCCAGCCACACCAGGGAGGACACCGCGCTCCCTGCTCTGCACTTACACTTGGCTGCAGGGCCCCGGGCCGCTCCGCACACAGGATGCCTCGTTGGCACAGGCTCTCTCTGAACATGGCCCATGAGGCCCTACCATGGTACCAAGGAAACCACAGGGACCCCCCACAGCCTCCGCAGCCTCTGTTGCTCATGACCTGGGCTTCAAGGGGTGCAGAGTCCCTGTGGGGCCTGTGACAGTGGAGGGGCCAGGGCGGGAGGACCCGAGAGCCCGCGGCAGCATAGGGAAAGGGCTCCCCTGTCCTGGCCCTGTGCCCACACGCCAGCACTTCCCAGGCCGGGAAGCCTCCCCATGGGAAACAGCGGACAAAGCTCCGGACCCCACGCGTCCACGTGGCCCCTTGCCACCTTCTTCTCCCACAGTGCCCATTGGCCACAGCCACAGAGCCTCTGGCAGTACTGTGGGCCGGGCTGGGGGCCCAGAGAGCTGAGCTCCAGCCTCTGGGCCCCTCCTCCCTACACCTCACATCCTGCCAACACTCTGCCCATTGGAGATGCCACTGTCGGGCAGTTGGTCACAGAGCACGGTGACTAGGAGCCAAAGCAGGTGAACAGTGTGCAGCATTGGCACGGGGGGGCAGAGAGCCTAGGCCCAACCATACTGTGTGCACTGCGGCCAAGAGGTCCTTGGGCCCAAAACAGGCTCTTATCGCCCTCCCCCTGCGGGGGCCCCCGGCCCACCTCCCAGCCATGCAGGCTGGGGACCCCTCCTTGCAGCCAAGGACAGATGATGGAGAGGCCTGGGTCCCATTCCCTATGCTGCTGGGGGGCCCTTGAAGTGGGGTGCAGCGACCCCACTCCCTCCTTCCCAGTATCTCGGGTTCTGACTGAGTAGAACAAGATGAAAAGTCCAGGCTCCACAGTGATAAGGCTCCCCATTCCCCACAGCCTCCCTTGCCTGCATCTGGGGGTCCCAAGGTCCCCAAAGAAATAGTTGATGACCAAGAGAAAGGGAGGTATGTGAGGACCGGACTCAGCAGGCACACCCTGAAACCTGGCAGCAGAGGTGGGGCGCCTGCCATCATGCTAATCATTACTCAGTCATGCTGAGGACAGCACCTTGCAGCCCGCTGACCCAGCAGGTGCAGAGTCCCGTCCCACTACCCTACACGCTGTTCTGGGGGCAAAGGCAAGGATGCAGGGAATCTCTGGGACCCCTAGAATCCTCACACATCATAGACTTGGCGAGCGGGTGGGAGGGAGATTCTGGTCACTCAGGGACTTCTGAGGAGGCTAATGCAGGACGTCCCCCATAGCACACGGCACATTTCCTGGGGGCGTCCAAACAGGCCATCTCCCCGCTGCCCTGAGAACCCTGCCCCTCGGCCCCAGCAGGTAGAGGTGCGCAGGCCACGGAGGGGCCCTTGCTCCGGAGGCTGCTTCCCCTTCAGTACCTCCATCTTGTTCCGGGGCAAGCCAGCAGCACTCAAGAAACGTCCCAGATTCCCAGGGACATGCCAGTGACAGACGTCAGCAGGTCCGAGTTGGAGGGTGGGGTGGGGGTGGGCGGAGAGCTGCCCCTGTGAAGTGGGGTGCCCCTGTTGTGCAGTAGGCTGGCCACAGCTTGCAGGATGCTGGGCCGCAGGGGGCCCGAGACAGAAGGGACGAGAGTTGCCTTCGGCTTGAGCCTTTGCCAGAGGGAAGCAAGCCGGGTGGGTGTGGATGGGGGCCGCCCCTGGGTCAGAGGGAGTGGCTGAGAGCCCGGTGACTCATCCCGGGTTGGATGCTGGGGCAGCTCCCGTGGCCGCTGACATGCCCGGGCATGTGCTCTGCGGAGGCCCCTCCCCCTCCTCCCGCCTTTGCAGGGACCCACAGCCTCTCTCGAGGTGACCACCAGCCTCAGCAATCTGGCCATCGTGCCGACTCTGGCAATTTGGCAGCTGCACAGACCGACGGGGAGGGCACGGGGAGGGCTCGGGGAAGGCTCGGCCCGGGCGTTACCTTGGCAGGTCCTGCTGTCCACCGAGAGCGCATAGCCACTGTAGCAGGCGCAGTGGAAGCTGCCGGGCTTGTTGAGGCATATTTGGTTGCAGCCCCCATTCTGCTGGCTGCACTCGTTGACATCTGGGCACAGAGCAAAGAGAGGCTGGGGAGCATGCAGAGGTGACGCACAAGCACCTGCACGCCTGTCCCCACAGGAGACCCCGCTGTGCCGAGGGCGGTGCCTGTCTACCGCGAGTGCGCACTGGAGGAGGGCAGGGCCCCGGGTGGCTTGGAGCAGCAGTGAAGGGGCCCCCGAGGTCACCAGGTCTTGGGGCGTTTTTCCTGCGGCTTCTTTGCTGACCCCCCAAAACTGCAGACAGGGAGGTTGGACAAGGCCCCACCCAGGGTCCCCAGGGGTAGCCCTACGGTGGCTTTTCTTCCAGTCCTGCCTGAGCCAGGCCACTGCCAGCACCTGATAGCTTCTCAAAGGTTGGACAGCGCCCTGTCCTTGGAGGCGAAAGCAGTGCCTCTCCATGTTCTTGGGGGACGTGAGGGGCCAAGGGGCCCCTCTCTCCTTTCTCCTCTGAGCCGGAGGGAGGTAGGCCGGCCATGAGGGGCCAGGTACCCGGACAGTCTGGGGCTCCTGCCTCCTCTGGAACAGGCCCTGCACATCCCCGGATGGGCTGGGGGCACAGGGGGGGCCTCACCTCTGTCACAGAGCCGCCCGCCCCAGCCAGCTCTGCACTGGCAATAGAAGTTGCCCATGAGGTCTTGGCAGACTTGGGTCCCCTCCTTGTTGCAGGGGTTTGGGGAGCACTGGTCAGGCAAGTCTATGTTGAGAAAAAGGAGAAAACATTCAGCTGGGAGGGAACGGCCAGGGGGCAGGCCCACCGAGGTGGGCCCAGACTAGAGGCATGGACCCCAGGTCTGGGCAGGAGAACAGTCATGGAGCAGGTGGGCCAGGCCCTCGTCTGTTCCAGGGAGATCTGGGTCAGCTTGTAGGGAGTGTCCACCTGCCTGCTGGGCCAAGGGCAGCAGAGGAGGACGGGGTGGGCCTGGCTGGGCCCCTTGTGCTCTGGCCTCCCAGGGAGCAGGCCCACAGACCCCTGGCTGACCTTAAGGGTCACATGAGGAACCCCCATCCCGGCCGACATCTCCACCGTCCCCGGCCAGGCGCCCCATCCACTCAAACCCCAGCATGCTCCCCGCAGGGCTTGGCGGCCACAGGAGCACCCCCACACCACCTGGCCGGATGTGGGACTGCCCAGGCCCAGGCTGCCTTGGCTCTCCCAGAGAGGGGTGCCGGCCGGCCCCTGCTCAGGGGGCGGTCTGCCGGCCAAGACTGTCAATCACCACCTGCTTCACAGGCTAGTTGAGACAGTCGCAGGGAGTGCCTTCCAACGACTTGGCATGTGAGCAACTTCTCACAGGCCGCTGAAGCCCAGCTCCAAGGTGCCATAGCTGCAGGGCCCGCCCACGAGCAGCCTGGCTTGCCTGGGTGCCCGTGCTGTGTGGGAGGGGCTGGCCAGGGGTCTCCAGGGGATTTCAGCACTGAGGCCCAGGCTGACCTCTGCCGCTCTCACTGTGCCCATGCTTGGCAGGCCCAGGAGATTTCTGGCCCTGCAGCCCTTGTGTGGGTCAGCTCTCGCCTTGGTTCCTCGACATACCTTGGCCAGCCTTCCCCTCCCCTCTTCCAGCATGGACACCTGCCTCTTCCAGCCTGGGGACAGCACTGGGCCTGTGGCTGAGGTCCAAACCCAGGGCCAGGGCTGGTAGACGGGCCGGGAGATGCCCAGAGTGCCCGCAGCAAACTCGCTGTCCCTCAGGCAGGTATCCTTCAGCGGTGTGGACAAAACCTTGCTGCTCTGGACCGCTTCCCTGTGGCCCTGGGGACTGTGGGCTCCAGGCTGGCCAGCTGACAGCCATCCCCAGGCCCGCAGGGGAGAGCAGGTCACTTTGTCACCCTTCCCAGGGCCATGCACCCCACAACTCTCTGATCAGGTCAATCACTTCTCTTGTATTTACATGTATATACATATTTTTAACATTTATTTGTGTTGGAAAGACAGCACGAGCAGGGGAGGGGCAGAGAGAGGGAGACACAGAATCTGAAGCAGGCTCCAGGCTCCAAGCTGTCAGCACAAAGCCCGATGTCGAGCTTGAACCCGCGAACCGTGAGATCATGACCTGAGATGACGTCGGACGCTTAACTGACTGAGCCACCCAGGTGCCCCACTTCTCATTATTTATGGAGAGAGTAGCCCACACAACGTGGCGGCTGGGCAGGTGGAGAGGCTCGTCAGACTCCCGGGTTTTCCAGCCTCTTCTCTGCACGAGCCAACAGGGCCCCCAAGAGCCGAGAGCTCAGGTGTCTGTCCTGCTGGGAGACTGACCAGGTGGGCACAGGCCACTGTTTATCACTTCTTCCTTAAAATGACTGACATTTCAGGGGCGCCTGAGTGGCTCAGTGGGTTAAGCGGCCGACTTCAACTCAGGTCATGATCTCACGGTCCATGAGTTCGAGCCCCGCGTCGGGCTCTGTGCTGACAGCTCAGAGCCTGGAGCCTGTTTCAGATTCTGTGTCTCCCTCTCTCTGACCCTCCCCCGTTCAGGCTTTGTCTCTCTCTGTCTCAAAAATAAATAAACGTTAAAAAAAAATTTAAAAAAAAAATGACTGACATTTCCAGCCCAACGCCAGGTTTGGGGACAGCATTTCTGCCCCAGGCCTTGCTTGTGGTCACCAGCAATGAATTCCTAGTAGAGCCCTTCTCTGCCTCACCAGCCTGGGGCTCAAGTGACCCCCAGCCCATCTGGGCCTCCTGTCAGCCCTCACTGGCAGGACTCCAGACTCCGCCAAGCTGCGTCCCTTTGTCCCATGCAGGTCTGTGACCTTGTCACCAGGGCCCCACTTCTTGGGGAATCCGCATAATTGTGTGCAAATAACTGGGGCCTGAGTCTGGCATTGGGCTCCTCCTGTGGCCCTGCCACACTCACTGGCAAGTGTTGACCGGACACAGCATCCCCAAATGCTTTGTGACACTTGCACAGTTGTTTTTGGCAGGGAAGGTAAATGCCTTCTCCCCGTAAGCAAGCAAGAATCGGGTCCAGGAATGAGGAAACGGGGCCTGGGAACGGCGTGTCCCACAGCCACCAGGAGCTGGCAGGTCAGCCCTGCAGACCCCATGCTGCCCGTGGGGAGGGGCAGGAGGGCTGGGGAGGGCAAGGCCCAACACCAGCCCCAGAGATGGCAGATAGGGCAGGAGGGTTGTGTGCCGTGTGCCAGGGCCTGGCCTGCCTGCTCACAGCACAAGCCCAGTGGGGCCCCCAAAGGCAGAAGGGTGTCTCCACTTGACGCATTTGGTTCAAGATTCAGTTATTTCAGAAGTGTGCATTTGACACGTGGAACTGCCTGAAATGGCTAAAGCTCCTTGAATAAAAACGCCTCAGGGACCCACAGTCCAGGGTGGAGACAGACTTCCCCAGGGGACACCGCAGCATGGCTCCCACAGGACACCCACAACAGCGGCCCCAGGACCCAAGGAATGGGGAGGGGTGGTATCTGAGCATCTGACACCGGGCAGGGGCCCAGCGGACTCCCGTGGGTCGAGGGCGTGCACCTGAGAGCACGGGTGAAGATAAGCCTCTGCAGGCACCCAGGGCACCTGCTTCCCTGTGGCCGGGCCTCCAGCGAGAAGGAGCCTTGAGAACATGGGGTTCCCCTCGCCCCCACGCGGCCCTGCTGCTCTGAGCAGCCGTGTGATCCCTCGACAGGAGGCCTTTCTCTCCATCTCGGAATGAAGGTAAAGATGAGTTATAAGCTGGATGACACACTCAGTGCAGGGCCCACTGTGGCCAAAGGGAAGGGGCCCTTCGGACACGGCGGGCGGAAGGTGGAGACGTCGGCGGGAAGAAAGCCCCAGGCCTGGAGCGCAGCAGGGCTGGACACGGGCACCTGGGCAAACCGAGACATGGGCTCTTGGGGGACATTGCTTCGATTCTGACAATAATGGACAGTCAAGCACTCAGCTCTGCTGCCTCACGGCCACCAAATGAGACAGCTGTCGGGAAGGAACCATGAAAACAGCCTAAAGTTGCCCAAACTGTGCTGCGGGTGGAGAGGCCTGCAGGAGCCACTCCGGGGGCGCAGGGGGTGGGGGTGCAGGTGCGGGCAGGGCGTGTGTCCTTCCCGAGTGACAGGCCTTGGGTCCTTGTCCCCAGCTGCCTTCATACACACCCCAATAAGGACGCACTGTATTTGCAGGTTGCCCCAGACTTCGGAAAATTTAGATGCACAGACGGTGTGCAGTCAGGCACCCACGGAGGACGACACATTTGACCATAGCGCACAGTCCAGAGAGACTGGGCATGGGGGGGCGTAGCGCCGCCACTGCATGAGATCTGACCCTGGTGCCAGCTCAGGAAGCCCCCCTTCCTTCCTCACCCCAGCCGCCACCAGAGCCCAGAGCCTCAAGCCCATTCAGAACGCATCTTTGCTATTCAAACAATTCCGGTCCCTCTAAGGCCACAAAATCTCTCACGTGGTACAACATGGCCCAGGACTCAATGACTTTAAATAAATGCTGTTGGAACAAGGGTGCACCTCTCTGGAAACAATGATCTTCACGCTGTGTCAGGAAGCATGGATAACTAGGTAACTTTTTATGATTTCCAGAAAAGGGAGCCTGAACCCAGGAATTAAATACTTATGGGGGTGCCGGGGGGCTCGGCCTAAAACCCAGGAATTAAACATCTACAGGGATGTACAGTGGCTCCGTGAGTTAAGCGTCCAACTTCAGCTCAGGTCATGATCTTGCAGTTTGTGGGTCTGAGCCCCGTGTTGGGCTCTGTCCTGACAGCTCAGAGCCTGGAACCTGCTTCTGTGTCTCCCTCTCTCTCTGCCCCTCCCCCATTCATGCTCAGTCTCTCTCAAAAATAAAAATAAACATTAAAAAAATAAAGCAATCTCATCAATTTGGAGACATAATTTAAAAGAAAAAATTGGTTTAGCAAATTAACAACAATAAAAAAATTGCTAAAAACAAAAAGCCAACATGACATGAAACTAAAACTGCAATGACCATGCCCCTTGGAGAGGCCGAGGTCACGGGCTGACCCCAGGGAGGCCGAGGTCACGGGCTGACCCCTGGGAGGCCGAGGTCACGGGCTGACCCCTGGGAGGTTGAGATCATGGGCTGACCCTAGGGAGGCCAAGGTCACAGGTTGATCCCAGGGAGGCCGAGGTCACGGTTGACCCCAGGGAGGCTGAGGTCACGGGTTGACCCCCAGGAGGCCAAGGTCATGGGCTGATCCCAGGAAATAGGCTGACCCCCAGGAGGCCGAGGTCACAAGCTGACCCCAGGGAGGCCGAAGTCACGGGTTGACCCCAGGGAGGCTGAGGTCACAGGCTGACCCCCGGGAGGCTGAGGTCACGGGCTGACCCCTAGGAGGCCGAGGTCATGAGCTGACCCCAGGGGGCCGAGGAAGGGAGCCTGCTCCAGGTTGCCAATGATGCATGGGCATGGATTTTGACCACCCTGAGTTAACAGGCACTTGTACCCAAAATGACAGAAGCCAGTCTGCTCTGCACCTGCTATTGTGCCGCTGTCCTGGGGTTAGAGGGGAGCAGGGGCCACGCGGCCTCACCACCCTTCCCTCGCCTTCCTGAGTTAAATCAATCATTTCTTCTGCTCTCCTGAACCAGGGCTTGGGCCTGTTACCCAGGCCAGGCGAGTGGGGTGAGGCCCTTGGCCGGCACACGGACAGGTGGGTGGCTGGATGCAGCAGCACCACAAGCCAGGCCAGCCAGTCCATGAGCAGCTCTGGGTCCTCCCCTCCTGGGCTCCCCGGGGGCGGCAGGCCTGGCCTCAGGTGCAGGGGCTGCGCGCCCAGAGCCCAACTGCCCAGCACGCGCGGCGAACACACAGACACCTGGGCTTAGGGTCGACCAGCCAGCTCGCCGTGAGGAGCTCAGACCTGAGCCGGGCCCAGAGTCAGTCCCAGCTGAGGTGGCTACAGCGTTCCTCGCCAGCGAAAAGTCAGTGTTACTGAGTGATCACTTACATGATGTTAATAAGAATACAAAAGATGCATGATAAGCAGAGGTAAAATTGTGCGAACGGCTAACACATAAAGCTCAGCTTGACTCGGTGAGAAAAACATAAACACAAAGACTGGGAGTCACCCTTCATCGTTTATACTGGGTGAAACCAAAAAGTTAAAAAAAAATGCACCAGCTTGGCAGAGATAAATGGGTGGGCCTCCTGCTCGCGCTCGCTCGCTCCTGGCGTAATTCAGGCCCGAAATGAGAAATGACACTGGGCTTGGTGCTGTAGGTCCCGCCCTGGGATTCTGTCCTGCAGACACCGTCAGATGCATGTGAGATTTTATTTGTACTTGTCAAAAACTGGAGGTAGCCTAGAAGTCCCCAGTTCACAGTTAATGCTACCTACCCGAGCCGGTGTTGCCGAGAACGTGCATGTGTGCCGAGCTGCATTCAGGGCAGAGAGAGGTTGGCACACCCGTGTGGTAAGCTGGCATTTGTGCAAAACAAGAGACTGTGCGTATGTGTTTACGGGCCCCAGGATATTCTCAGATCTGGTAACCGGGGCCTCTGGAGCCTCACCGGTTGACCAGGAGGCACAGCCGGGGGCAAAGTGCTCGCTCCTCACACCCAGGAAAGGCTTAGATTTTATACCGCGTGCACTGCTTGCTTATTTAGAAAAACGAACCTCACTTGCTGCAAAGGGCAAGTTCAGTGGAAAAGGAGCAGAGCTCAGGCCGGGGCTGCAGCTCCTTAAGGTAATGGGGCTAGTCAAGGTCCCTGGAAAACCACAGCAGAGCCTGAAGTTACCCAAACCCGCGGGGCTTTGAGGGGAACAGCAGGGAGGTGGACTTACTCTGAACGCAGGCGGCGAAAGCTGGGCTCTTGCTGTGCGGAGGCCCATGCCTACTGACGCAGTCTGTAAGACAGATGGAAAGCAGGTCAGTCATTCTTGTCACAGGTGACAGACGACAGGACAGACCTCAGAACTCATGAGTCGTCTCTGAGCCACCTCTGGAAGAGGAGATTATTCACATTCCCTAGGTGCTCCAGCTTTTGTTATTAGAGATTTTAACGCTGGCAAGCAAAAAAAGGCCTCCCACTAAAAGGCTGAACTGTGTCCAAAGGTCTGTCTGCGGCCTCTCTGGTGGCATGAAGGACCAGGAACAGTCACTGGGTTTTCTGGCCACAGTCAGAGAGGTGAACCTTATTTCAAGTTGGTCTCCAACAGAACCCCTGTTGGACCCTGAATGTGGAAGTCATGATTTGAGTGTCCCCCTCCCCAAGCTGTCTGACAGGTTGGTTCACACGGGAGCTGGAGGAGGGGACCAGACACTGGAACTCATGCAGAACAGGTGTTGAGCCATTCCTGGACCTTCAGTAGGTCCCTGGCGCTTGGTCATGCCCAGGAGGACTGGGGCCCAGGTGACCTGGAGGCAGCTCCCGGGACAGCTGGTCACCCTCTGCCCCTGGAAACAAATCCCAGACACCTAGGAGCAAGGCCTGCGGAGGCCAACAGGGAGCCCGGGAGTGGGCAGGTCCCCAGCTCTTCAGGGTCCACTATGGCGCAGACCCAGAGAATACCGCTAGGAGGACATAAGGCCAACAGGAAATTCACCAAACTTAAGAAGGAACAGACCCTGGTGTAGGTCTGTCTCATAATGATGTACATCTTAGAAAAATCTTAGAACAGCATCAATTAAAGGAGTAGTTCAGGGAAAGTCCAGAGCCTCTTTCTGACAGTCCCTGGTCACTTGGCTGTCACGCGTCTTACTTTCTCTCCCAAGTACACTCGGGAGCTTTCTGGGGGCCACGCTGCCCGGTGACACCCCTGCTGGGCAGCCAGGAGCACCTGCCTGTCCATTCCTCTTGTTCAAATTAAACAAAAACATCTCTTACTGGGCTCAGTTCTGTTAAAAAACACGGCAAATACCAACCACCATAGTCCACGGAGCAAAAGCTCTTCGGCATCTTCAGTAACTTCAGGAGTGCAGACACCCCGAGACCAACAGGTCTGAGACTCACTAAATCAGCCACATTCCCAAACAGCAAGCTAGCGGAGTCAGAACAGAGAAGCGGTTTGCAAATAACGGCACTGGATCGCGGTTGACGCGGATCGTGCTGCCGTGAAAGACACAGGCGCTGTGACCGCGTGCTCCAAGAGTCCCAAGCTCACCGTGTGGGTAAAGCAACCTCCCCAGGAGCACCTGCGGGACGGGCTGGCCCAGCTGACAGGTGACATGTCCACCTCTGTTCCTCTACAACTACAGAAGCAGCGATGCAAACTTACCTAAGTATCTTGGGTAAAAATAGTCCTGTGGAAAAAGAAAAAGAAGGGGCGACAGTTTACTGGCGTGGCCTGCACTCCCCACACAGTGCCCACAACAGCTGGCGGAGGGCCTCGCCTTCCTCTCCAGTGGGCACAGACAGGCACCTGGGCGGGGCAGGTGCGTGAGGAAGGCGGGGAACTCTCCACAGCTGGCTCAGTGACAGCAGGGCAGAACCACCCAGAAAGCCACTTTACGCCTCAAGGACCATGGCGTGAGGAAGAAGAGGGAGGGTGCGGCCCAGGCCGCTGTCTCGGCCGCTGCAGAATGATGTCTGCCTGGACCTTCTGTAAGCGGCAACGGGGATGTCATTTAAGGGACCCAGTGTCTCACAGGAGGCGGAGGGCCGGGAGGAAGATTGTCTGGACCCTCGCTGACACCGGGCTCCTCCCAGAAGCATGCAGACCCCGCGGGGCCATTCATACGCAGGCGCTGACTTGCACCGACTGGGTTTGTACAAGGAACTGGTGCTGGGCGAGGTGTGGAGGGTGCAAGGGAAGCAAAGGTCCTTTCCGTCCGTGACTGTGAACTAAGAGCGCTGCACCATACCAGCTGTCTGCCAAATACTAGGACCACTTGCCCTGTCTTGGCCAGCAGCAGAGAGCAGCTGGAATTGTCCCCAGGGTCATTGGCCCCAGCCGTCCACCATCATCTCTCACTGAGGGTCAGTCACAGCGTGGCTTAGCCCTAGATGCTCCCCTGGACGGGACCAGGTTGCTACACAGCAGCACCCACCGAGGAGGGGTGCCCACTACAGGTGCTGTGATTGTATGTCCTTCCATCTGACCCTCACAACTGCTCCAAGGTCTTTTCAATTAACCCCGTCATCAGAGAGGAGGAAACCGAGGCTCATGACGGGTCGTGGAGTTCAACCAAGGTTAGGAAGCCAGGTCGGGCTCCCGACAGCACACTGGGATCCAAAACCACACTGAAAGGAGCTGGTGTGTCATCTGCAGTGATGGGCCCCCACAGTTAGCTGGCCTCACGCCATGGTCTGGCACCTCACCTGTCCCCTTCCCTCGCTGTTTACAACACTTTGCTAAGACACCCATCAGAAAGTCATGTTCTGATAAAGACATGACTTAGACTCTAACTCCTTTAAAAGAAAAGTAATGGTCAGAGCAAGTTTGTATTTCAGCTTGTATCACGGTTGTGAAGGTGACATTCAGGCAGGTGTGACAGAGGCCATGTCTGGCAGGCAGAGCCACACAGCCAGGGCGGGGACACCCCTCCCCACCAGCATCCAGAGGGCCCTGACGGCCTGGTTTCACTTCTCCATGCTGCTTTCAGTCATGGACTGGCCACTCCCAGACAGGAAAGGCAAGCGAGGCCAGGCGCACTCAGACGAAGCCCCCAGAGCTGAGGGCAAGCAGACAGGGACATCTGCCGGGTTTAGAGGGAGAGCAAAGGCCACAGACTTTGTCACAAAGGGAGGGGCTCTGGCTCTGAAAGAAAAGACTTAGGATGCACGATGTGTCCACTCACAAAACCAAGAATTAGACTACGAAGGAACTAAAGACACTGAGGATCTGTGAGCAGAGTTCCCAGTTGTCATAGACGTGGCACCTGCCACAGGAAAGCTATTCTGTATGGTCATAAATGTGGCACCTGCCACAAGAAAGCTGTTCTGTATGGTCATAAACTTGGCACTGCCACAGGAAAGCTGTTCTATATGTTATCCAGAAAGCTGTATTATATTTTTCAAAGCCCTATTACTAGCTATGTGTCATGTGTTTTAACAGCGATTGTATTGTTCTGGAAGAGCCTCGCTGACCGAAAAGCCATGTGCCCTTCCCTTGTTAATCACACCCATGGGAATGTGGTTTCCAAAACCATTGGGCCATAAGCTGGTGACAATTTATCTTAATTTGTGTGCTTGATTTATTTGGGGTGAGAGGGGTGCTCATTTGGCTGGCAATCTAGGACAGAGATGATTAACCCCGAGTAATAGCAAAGCTAAGACAGATGCACCTAAAACCACTATGCGCTCTCCCAAGAGAAAGAGACATTTCTAATTGTCCTTCAACGTTCTGACCAAAGAGGAAGACCTATGGAAATCTCAGTGAATGAAGGGCACTGGACACAGAACAGAGAGCCGGCCCCACCTGCACCACAAGTTGGCCACACATAAACTGTGGCCTGAGGCTTAGGAACTGGGCTGACTCCCATGAGCATCACCCTCCCAGTGATCCACGGAGCAGAGGCCACACTTCAGATGGCCAGATTCAGAACCAGGGATCGGTTGCCTACAAACTTACCCTTTCTTTTTGACCACACAAGGAGGCATGTGAGGGCCTGGCTGGGGTCAGGAGCAGGGAATGGGCAGACCAGCCAGCAGGAGGCCAAGGCCACCCAGGTTGGAAATGAAGCCGTCTGTCACCTGGCAATCATTTTTCTCAGGAGTTTGCTTCTGCTTTACTTAAACAGCTTAAGATACAAAGAAGTGAGCAAAACTGCAGGCCACTAAACTGTGAGCTGAAGATCCCAGAGGGGAAGGTATATGCCCGATACCTGGCCTGGTGCTGACTATCCCTCAGAAGGCCCTCAGGAGCCATTGCTAAATGGGTGAATGAATGATAGATGAATGGATAGATGAATGGAAGAATGAGTAAATCGATGGGTGGTTGGATGGGTGGCTGGCTGGCTGGATGACGGATGGATGGATCAAAGGAAGAATGCATGGATGGCTGGGTGTATGAATGAATGAACAGGCAAATGTAGAGTCCTACAATTTTCACTGAGTTGTTGATTTTATTTATAACAAAGCTAAGCACACTGGGAGAAATACCTAAATCGGTGCTCTCAGCTTGTGTCTTCCAAAACTCAGAAATATCAGTACTACGTTTCCTCAAGCTTACAAACTGCCAATGCATTTTTGAACTTAGATCCTTAGATGAACTGCCATTTGCCAACCTCTTCTTCCACCATTCATTCCAAGGACCCTACTCTCTGAGGAGGCGATGAGACATGGTGCATGTGTGATTCAACAACTGAATCGTCACTCCTACTAGTAGGGACTGCCCGTGAGTGAAGTGGCCCCGTGTGGAGCTCACACCCCACCTACGGGGAGCACCTGGTTCTGGGAGGATCAGTGTGCTGGTCTTGGCCAAGAGCCCACTGGCCGCACACCCTCACGTAAATGGAGTTGGGTGCTCCAACAAATCCGGCCTTCCCTGGGACGCATTCTCCCATGCTCCTGTTCCCTGCAGGTTTGTAAACACAGGAACCTGTGCCCAAAGCACCTTCAAGGCCTGAACCCAACGACAGGCTCGGTCCACTTGCGTCTAACGTGAGGCCTAGCAGTTTGCTCTGAAACCACAGGACGATGTTTCTGTGAGATGGTCTCTTCCACGTCTGCTCCTTAATCGTGCCGTCACCCATCTGGCCCCTTCGCTAAGAAGGGGAGCACCAGAAAGGACAGCAAATAGGTGGCTGGTGAAATCCTCGACAAGTCCCATCTGCAGACAGAACCTCCCACCTGCCTCTGCCCCATGCTGACCACCGGAACCCTGGTCTGCCACATGGGGTCTGTGCCTCCAGAGTCTCCCATGTGGCAACAGTCAAGAGCATCAGGGAGTTGCCCACCCTCCCCGTGGGGCAAGGTTGCGTGTGGGCTGTCCACCTGCCACTCGCCCCTCTCCTACTTCGGGACAGTCAGTTCTAGAGTTGGAACTCCAGAAGCTGTGACCACGACAAGCTCCTTGCCCGGCAGCCTGCCCAGCCTGCTGAAATGCCCTCCAAGCACCCAGCCTGTGCACCTCTTCCCCGGGGCCTTCTGAGGCTTGGTGGGGTTCTTAGGGGTCTCTCTATAAACTTGACGCTCTGAGAGCAAATCTGCCTTCCAAAAATGGTCAAAAACCACATAAGCCTAGTGGGTTAAAATGCACATTATTAAGACAGAAACATCACCTGGGCTCACAGTGTGAACTGAGCACAGTTGCCCTCTTGTAGCTCATGAACAGGACCACATGCAGCTGGGAAGGTTCTAGAATTTGGCAACTGACACCTCGTACGTGCCTTCATGTCCAAACTACTTTAACTCTTCGAGCTCCTCCCAGGCTGGCGCAGTCCCTGCAGGGACAGGGTAAGCCAGGGGGACCCAGACAGCTTCCGGCCCTGATGCTGCGGCTCACCTTCAGGGCAGTTGCCTTCTTCCTGCCCTCTGACGCATATGCAGGTTAATGGGAGGCTCACTGCCAGGAGGGCCGAGACACCAGCGTGTTAATGGACGTGGAAACTGCTTTGCAAACACATCAGCATCAGCAGTGCGTAAGTCTTTTTGGCGTGGAGTACCCAGCACTTTCATCTAGTTCACACGACATAATAGGAGGCACACATCGCAGCATAACAAATGGTCGTTACTTTTCAAACAGGAAATTAAGAATTTCTTACTTCCTTTAATAAATAACTGCCCGAAATTTTGTTTCCAAAACTCCTTACGCTATTTGACAAAGTGGGCTGAGACTCAAGCGTCACAATAACTGCTTATTTACGTGATACAAATACAAGATGTCTTCCTGAGAAGCGGTCCACAACACTGACTAATCCTTTAACCTTAATGTTGTCTTGCTAGTAAACTTGACTTCTAAGGGAAATACTGTCCAAGTCACATCAACTTGAATCGTCATTACGGAGGCTTCTGCTTTGCGGTAGCTGGAGGAAGTCACAACAACGGTCTCACGGTTTTTATGACGGCTCCCGGAGAGATTCCCAGCTATCGACGGGCAAGCTTTGGCCCCTCAGCCTGCAGGGACCCTGACAGGTTCTCAGTCCCCCAGGCCAGCATCACTCAGTCTGTGCATGTTTTTCTAAGCGTGGTTCACACAAAATCCCTCTGTCGTCTTCCCAAGTTCATCTCCTCTAAGATTCTCCAAACCAGGGGTCTGTTTAAGCACTCCATGAGACCAAAGGAAACACGGACACCCCCTACCTACCCCTGCCAGGCCCACAGGGCCTCCAGGTCAGCCCTGCAAGGAGGGGAGCAGGCCCCAGAAACACCCCCAAGGCCACAGCGCTCCCCTCCTTCCTGAGACGCTAATGTGCACGTGTGTTGTTAAAAATTCCTGTGGGGACAACACGCAGGTGCACAGATAAAAGCTGGGGACTGCAGCTCTGTGGATCTGTGCAGTGGGATTCCTGCAGCCACACGCACCCCCACGCCCCCAGAACTAGCCCCTGGCGCCCAGCACATACCAGCGAGATAAGCACAGGGGCTGAGCCAGCCGAGTCCCGGTGAGTGGTGAGAGCCAGCTGGAAAGCTGGGTTCTCTGGGCCCTTTTCATAACCAGCTTTAGGATGAATCAGTGCCCATGTGCGCGTCACCACGTAGCAGGCTGTGTAGACACTTCTCGCCTCGGAAGGTCAATCACTTCAGAGTTAACATGCTGACCTTGGAGGCTGGGACCTGAGTTTCCATCTGTGTCCTCCCAGTGAAGAGTGAACTTGGGCAAGTCCCCACATAGATTCCTGGGCCTCAGTTCACAAGCATCTGGAATAAGGGCCACCACGTCCTATGACCTTGTGACAAACACTACTGCAATGTTCTTGTCTGTTTCTGGCTTAGGGAAAGGAATTTTAAGTGCATTTTGATGCCCCTCCGGACATGCTACATCATGGCGTGCATGTGAGGTGCACGTGAGATGTTCCACGCGTATCTGGCACGGGGTAAGCCTGGGGTGTGCATGGGACAACCCAGAACCTGCATCTGAGGAATGCAGCCGCAGCAATCATTCGGGGCGGGCCCAAGGTGACTCTTCCATCACAAATGGCTGGTCTGCTACGAGACAGGGCAGGTGGGAAGCACACTCTCCTACTCCCGGCCCCTGGCAACTGCCAATAGCAACCTGCCAACAGGATCTTCCGTTTCAATCTGAAGCATCGTACTATAGAGGCATGTGTCCAAACCAGTCACCCAGGCGGTTGCACCTGCAGCCACGTCATGCCAGTCCTGGAGGATGCCCCAGCACAGCCTCAGTGGCCCCCGGGTGGAAG